TCCAACCTTAATGATTCTGTGATTCTGTCCGTTGTTGAACGCGTTATTAATATACAAGGACAAGTTCCTGCTTATCCCATGTCACCTTCAAGGCTTGGAGAACTCTGGTGAGAGATCTTGCCATATGCCTCCTGGAAGTCTAGGTGTTCAGTCAACCAGATCATCCGTCCTCATGTGCTTCTTGGGCAGTTGGGGGGAAAAAAAAGATTTGTGAAGCATGATTTCATTTTTCATTATATTTATCTAGCTGTCTTCTGACTTGTGTTTCTCATAACTTTGATTTTTCTAGTATAAAGTTAAAAATATTCTGCAGTTACCTTGGTGTTTCTTTAGTGCCCTTTAAAAAGCAAACAAAAAAGTAACTAAACTTTTTTTTTTTAATTGCCATTTTATTCTTTCAGGAAAAAGAGGGTGTCCATACTTTAGTTATTTATTGCATATTTTTTTCCTTTTCTTCCTCTAAGTAGAGCTTAAGCAATTATGAAAAATTTGGACACATAGAATGTTAATCTGAAATCATGGGACTCAAAGTAATTCATTTTCTGTGGCTTTTGAGTAAACATTTGGGATTAACTCCAGATTGTATTAATAAAAATAGGTCTTCTACTTGCTTAGAAAACTGTATATAACACTAGTGTTCGAATAATCTTCACCTTAATTTTTTTTTTTTTACTTTATCATAATGATGGGAGCAATGAATGCTTTTGCTGCCAAAAGAAAAGAGTTGGAAAACCTGGGGAAAAAAGGAGCAGCGAGTTGCATATTCAGTGTCGAAGGCATGTAAGGGGTTATTTTAGAAAATGACGTTAGATTAATAACTGTGCTCTGCTCAAAACTTACTTAGCACTCTTCTTCCAAGTGAGTTGCAGAGTAAAACGGCACTGTTTGCGATAGCAGATCATGAAATCACAAGTAATTGTCTTACATTAGAAGTGAGAATTTAAAGGTTTGTGATACTAACCTTTAGAGCAGTCTGTGTGGTGTCTTGTAAACTGGAGCATGTGGATGATACAGCGGCATGGCTTGGATAGACACTTGTGTTCTCTTGTCTTGAATCTGTTGGTTGTTTTGCAGTAAGTCCACTGTTAACAGCCCTTTTAAAATTTAGTGGAATACTTTGAGGCGGATGTTTTATGAACAAAAATTGCATGATTTTGCAGTAGACTTAAATATTGGCTCTGTCGGCTCTAAAAGGCTTCTGAACTATAATGTCTACTTGTTTGCTGTGAAACTAGAGGCGCTGTTTGTTCCTTTAGGCTGTCTCCTTTCGAGTCCTAACGAATGTAAAAAGCATCTCTGTTCCTTTTTCTTGTAATCCGCAATTTACCTTGGGTCACTGGGGTGTTAGTGAGGGAAGCAGTGCGGTCTTTTGGAACGCAATACGTAGAGGTTTAAAAAATATTAACAAACATGTAAAAGTGCAGATGAGTATTTCTTATTAGAAGGGGATTAGAGCAGACTTCTAAAGTAGAAGTTTTAGTTCATGTATTTTCTTTCTTATTCAAACTTGCACTAAGACCCAATATTCTTCGCTTCTAACAGTGCTTGCAGGCTCAATTGGCCTAATATTAAAATTTTCTTTTGACTTTAAATGAATGTAACTCTTCTCTGTATAATTGATTTTTTTTCCAGTTTGGGAATATATAAACAGTAACAAGACCTTAGAGGTTTACCCAGCCATGCAAAATCTGATTAACGCTTAGGGAATGCTCAAGAGATGAAATCTAAATGTAATAAATTCATGCCTCTTTCTCTGTAGGGTGCTGGTCAAGACAAACTTGGAATATATGTCAAGTCTGTTGTGAAGGGAGGTGCTGCGGATGTGGTTAGTACTGTTCTGAAATATCACAAGTTCCAAGTTAGATCCTTTGGAAATGCTTTGAAATCCTTGGCTTACTGGTATGTTGGAATAATTGTTTTAATTTAGACCATATTAGCATCAGGGTATGAATTTTCTTCTCTCTTGAATGTGTAACTAGGATGGTCGTCTGGCTGCAGGGGACCAGTTGCTCAGCGTGGATGGGCGAAGTTTGGTCGGCCTGTCCCAGGAAAGGTAGGAAATGCTCTCCTTGGGTGTCTTTACATGAAGAAAATGCTAGAGGAATACTTCACTGAAAAGGTCGGAAGCTCAGTTTTTTACATGTTAGCCTTTGTCTTCGCTTTTTGTAACAGCCTACGAATAACCTTAGTACTACGTTTAACTGTTCACGTAGTATTTTCTCTGTATGATACAGCTTATCTATACAGAAGAGACCGTATTACACATTTGGGCTTTAGTTTTGAGCAACCTTTATTTAGCTCTCATTTTAAATATTGTGGCTTCTGACCTTTAACTGAGAAACTGGAAATAGTACTTGCCTGTAGGTGTTGTCTATTGAATAAGTATATCTTCTAGTCATCATCTTCTATTTTTTTTCAAAGTGATTTTAAGTATTAACCAGAAAAAGAGTATTTTGTCAAAGAAAAGTTTACTAGAATAAACATGAGAAATCATGACATATAAACTGATAATAAGGAGAACCAAGTAATATAGTGCCTAATTTTATTTTTTTAAAGTTTGCTTTGTTTTTTATTGCAGGGCAGCAGAACTTATGACTAGGACAGGTTCTGTAGTAACACTAGAAGTAGCAAAACAAGGAGCAATTTACCATGGTCTGGCAACCCTGCTTAACCAGCCATCCCCAATGATGCAAAGAGGTAAAAATGCTAATAATATTTATGTCAATAAGAGCTTTGTAAGTCTTAGAACAGAGAAAATATAATAATTCACGATAGTTTTACAAATATTACCAACATATGAAATCAGAAAAGAAACATAACTGCACAGAAAAAAAGCATTTTCTTTCTTATCGGAAGTTCATCCGTTTTTAAATATTGTTTGAAATTATGCTAGTCTAATCATTAATAAATGCTTTGCATACGTACCTTTAAAAAATTTTATGATGCATTTAAACAGTTCTGTTTGAAGTAGTTGTTATTTTAATAAATGAAATATAATGAATACAAAGGGTGTTAAACTTCGATGGCTTTTTCATCCCTTTCCTGCTCTCCTGGTACCGGAATATGATTTCCTTGTAACCAGAGAGTACAATATAATTGTAGAGAATGAAATAGAAACAAAGCCTCTGGAATGTTTTGCCATTGAATTTTTCTTTTTTAAGTTAGAAATATTAAAACCTATCTTCCCGAGTTTGTGTCTCGGCTCATAAGAAGTTCTTGGATGTTTCTCCAGTGTTCTGTTTTATCAACCTACCTCAGTGAACTAACTCCAAAAGACATATTTCAGTCTTCTGTAAAATCATGTTGCAAAGGAAGTAACTTTGGAAAGAAAGACCTTTTCCTGCGTATAGGGTAGTACTAAAGTATAGGAAGGAATGGGTTAAAAGAATAAATCCTTATTAGCACAGTTTACAACACCACCCCAGATGCCATATGGCTCTGAGAGTCAGCAGGAGACTTTTCAGTAAAGCACGTTTGGCTTTTCCAAATACTGTGGTGCCCTTTCAAAGACTCTTTTGGAGCAACACAAATGAAAGGAATCCTGTAGAGTTGATACAAGAGTGGGATGGTGTATCTGAAGATTTTAAAGTTTAGCATTTGCTTTACTGGGAACTCACTTATAAATGCAAGGTAGCTTTAGTTTGAAAAAGAATGTGCTAGACAGTAGTTAATGTAAGTGAAAGGGGGAAAATCCATATCCAACTATTACAGTTTCTGACCGCCGTGGCTCAGGTAAACCCCGACCAAAGAGTGAAGGTTTTGAGCTGTACAATAACTCCACTCAAAATGGGTCACCCGAGAGCCCTCAGCTGCCGTGGACGGAGTACAGTGAACAAAAGAAACTGCCAGGGGATGACAGGTTAATGAAGAACAGAGCTGATCATCGCTCCAGTCCCAATGTAGCAAGTAAGTAAGATTATCCTTCATAGGGGTAGATGCCTCCTCCACTAGCGTTCGAGGCTGCTGAATTGAAAAAGGGGGTGATTGGTTTTTAAAATGGATTAAGCTTAAGATGCAAACATAGTAGTAACATTTGGAACAAGCCTCATGTTAGAAGTATTCAAAGGAAAACTCATGGTTACTTTGTGGATACTATCATTTTATGAAGTTTTGTACGTTATTATTATTATTAACAGTCATGGAAATGCCTACTTTAACTTTCCAACAGATCAGCCTCCAAGCCCCGGGGGAAAGAATGCTTATGCATCTGGAACTACCACCAAAATAACCTCCGTCTCTACTGGAAATCTTTGTACAGAGGTCAGAAATGGCAACTCAGATGCTGGCTATTAAACTTTCCTTAGCTCTCAATAGCGGCAGTGTGCTTGAGCCAAAGCAGTGTCTTTGTTAACTGTTTGAACGGGATGCTGGTGCCACTGACTGAGGGGGGGTTTGCTAATGGGAGTTACAGCTAATGAAAGATTGAGACAGCTTTTTGGGTGATTTTATTAAATTTGTTTCATGAAGTTGTCCTTGTGATTTCTTAGGTTGATGCAATATCGCGTATTTGTTTTCAGACCATAGAAACATGAGTCATAACCACAATTTCTGTTTGATACTGGACAACCTCTTTATCTCCTGCTCCAGATAAATAACGTTCTTTATGTGCAAAAGAAAACATTTGGAAAATGCATGTTTAGAATAATATTCCATACAGAACTTTGTGATGAGAAAATTCTGTCTTATGTTCTTCCTACTGTTTTCAGGAACAGACTCAGCCCCCACGACCTGAAGCTTATCCCATCCCAACACAGACCTATACTAGAGAATATTTCACATTCCCAGCTTCAAAGTCCCAGGATCGGATGGGTCCAGCTCAGAGTCAGTGGCCAAATTATGAAGAAAAACCACAGGTCCAGGCAGAAAGTAATCATTCAATCAATTCTACAATGCAGGTGAGAAAGTAATTTCTTTCAATATAAGGGGGGGGGGAAAAAAAAACCCCACACAGAAGGAAACTGCTTGCTTTCTGCTCCCAGACTGCTGGAGATCTTTTTGCAGAAGAGTCGAGTCTATGATCTCTGTGTTGTTGAAGAGGAGCTATATCACAGGGGATGGAACAACTGTACTTTTGCCAAGATTGGCTTGGGTTCAGAAACCCTGCTCTTTTTTTTTTTTTATGTTCCCCCCCCCTTTCCATAGAATTTGTGTTTTCAAGTTCAGCATACCTGTTAACTGGGATGTTTTCATCCCCTCTTACAGGTAATGGAGTGTAGATGGTAGTAGGGTTTGTCTTATAAAATGTTTTGTGGTTTACTGAAAAGCAAACTAAATCTTTCACCCCTCCAAGAAGGTTTACGTGGAAGAATCTCTTTGCCTGCTGGGTGCATTGTTTAAGTGACAAAGTGAAGTATTAAAAATGAAATAAAACAGTATTTGGAGACATATCCAAGGTCTTCACTGAAAGACATTCCCTTCTCACAGTTAAAAACATAATATTCAAGTTCCGTTTTTTCTGCTTGCCTTGATATTTCCCTGTTATTCAAATGCAGATGCTTCTTGACCTGAAATTAATTTCCCCCCCCCCCCCCAGCCCTATACCTTTATAAATTTAAAAACTAATGTTCTTCTGCTCTTTGTAAATGAAGACTTTACTCAAATCCATACAGGAAATTAAATCTAGAGCTAGTAAATCCAGTCACTGGATCATCTTTTTCTCTAATCCACCAGAGACTTAAAAATATAGAGAGAAAACTTTTTTTTTGCTATTTCTTAATTTGAGATAAAAGCAGAGCCTTACACCAGGCTCAGTGTGTTTTACTTTGGAAAAAGCAGCGTCATCTCGGTTGTCTTGAGATTGTATCACAGAAGTGAAGCAGGGATTGATTAGTGATTACTCACACACGTATCATCAAGTGAATTCAGTGAAAAGTCAATTTGATAAAAACTTAGTGCAATTTTATTTTTTTTCTTCAGTATTACAGATATCAAATCCTATTTATTTCAGCTGTAAAGAAAATAGATGTTATACCCAAAGTAGGATGGTAATTTTGAAGGAGAACTAAGTTAGATGACTGCAGCAAATTGCTATGGAAATATTTTGCTGAATTTCTGTGCTTCACTCCTTCACGTTTTCTAATTTCATCTCAACTAATCTTAGAATCACAGAATCATTAAGGTTGGAAAAGACCTCCAGGATCATCAAGTCCAACCGTCAACCCAACACCACCCAACCCACTAACCCATGTCCCTGAGCACCACATCTACACGTTTCTTGAACCCCTCCAGGGATGGTGACTCCACCACTGCCCTGGGCAGCCTGTTCCAATGCCTCATCACTCTTTCAGTGAAGAAATTTTTTCTAATATCCAGCCTAAACCTCCCCTGGTGCAACTTGAGGCCGTTTCCTCTTGTCCCATCACTTGTTCCTTTAGAGCAGAGCCCAGCACCCCCCTCCCTGCACCCTCCTTTCAGGCAGCTGTAGAGAGTGATGAGGTCTCCTCTCAGCCTCCTCTTCTCCAGACTGAACCCCCCCAGCTCCCTCAGCCGCTCCTCGTCAGCCCTGTGCTCCAGACCCTTCCCCAGCTCCGTTGCCCTTCTCTGGACCTGCTCCAGCCCCTCAATGTCCTTCTTGTGGTGAGGGGCCCAACACTGACCCCAGGATTCAAGGTGCGGCCTCACCAGTGCCGAGTCCAGGGCACAATCTCAGCTGCATAGTTCATGTCTGGGCTCTGTGATGAGGCAGGGAGAGGCTCATCTCTCCGGAGAATGGTTCCTACCCACTTGTCTTAACGGGATGAATTGCTGCCTGGACACGCATCTCTCCCCTGCTTTGAGACAAGCTGAAGTGAGTAGCTTAGACGAGGCGGTTAAAACTGGTGAGATGAACTCTGGCTGTTAAAGTTGGTGACAGATACAGAACTGGAGCTCTGGTCTGAAGGCTGAATGGAGTGCAAAAAAGCATTTTCATAAACCAAACAGCTGGAACCTTTAGCTCCCAAGCATTGAAAGTGTACACAGTTTTTTTTTCCCCACCATTCAATAGTTCTTTTAAGTTGAAAATTGGAGGAAAATAGACTTTTAGAAAAAACTTGAAAATCATCCTTTCAATCTTTACAGTGAGAACTGGGCTTGTAAAAAAAAAAAAAAAGGAAAAAAAAGCTGCCATAGGCATAGACAGATGTGAAATGTCTGTTTTCTGTTCCGAGGGCATAAGCAAACTGTTAGGCTAGGTGCATCTTTACAGCAAATCTAACACAAATAGCTGTGTGTTCAGCTCTGCTGGACTAATAGAGCATAAAAAATACACTTGTTCATCTCAAAGGCGGCATTCTCTAGAGGTCATAGTTAAGGTCATTGATGGAGGAAAAAGAAAAAGAGTTGGCTTTGTTAGTCTTCTCTCAGTTGTTGATAATTGGTACAGGATGCGTTCAGTGCTTAGGAGTTCCTAACACTGAAAGTAGGAATATTTGCTTCAAGAATAATCACTAAGTTTTGATAAGCCTCATTTATGGTTCAGTATTCCTTTCCAGGAGGTTGGACAGTGCAATGAGACCTGCATCTTGTCTTTAAAACAAACAAACAAAAAAAGGTGTCATGGTAGTGGATGCACTGAAAAAGAGGGAAAAGCCCAGACCAATCCACCCATGCCTTGGGAGCAGGTAGAATGAGAGCTGGCTGCCCAGATCACCCAGATCATTAACCTCCTGTTAATGGAGGAGGGTGGGCAGAGGCTCCCCTGTCTCTCCCTCAGCAGCCTTTCTGTTTGCCTTCCCAACAGGAAAAATGTTCAGCCAAGCCAGCTGAAGGCTGAATGGCAGAGCTGCTATGCCTGAGCTGCTCTTCTGAGCTGCCAGGACCCTCGTGCTCACACGAGGGGGAGGGAGACTCGCGGATAGTCCTGAGAAATTGTGCGATCTCAGGAGGTTTTCAGCTTCAACTCCATTTTGCATTCATCCTTCCTCCTGGTCAAGGTTTCCAGGCTTTTCAGAGGTTGCAAAGTCTTCCATCCCTCGAAAGAGTTAAAAAAAACGAGAAGAATATTTTATTGTTGTTTTTGGGAAACTTACTGGGCATGGAAATGCTGCAGTTCACTATCAGGAATTACCTTCAGCAATAGCAGTGCGGTTTCTGAGCCATTTTCAAATAATATAGATTGACTATGAAATCAAAATGTTAAAAAAATTCAATATAGACGGACTATGAAATACATATTTTGTTTAATTTTTTCCAGCGTGTGGCTCGTTCCCAGGAAGAACTGCGAGATAAAGCGTTCCAGCCAGAGAGGAATCGTTTGGAAGTTGTTATACGGAAGGATGTGGAGTACATTGATCGGAAGTCAGACGGTGATCAGTGGATGAATTCATCTGTGGATTCCAGCACGTCTAGCCAAGAACACCTGAACCATACATCCAAACCGGTCTCGCCTGGTTCTTGTTTAACTAAAAGTGGACCTGGCCGTTGGAAAACTCCAGCTACTACCCAGCCGACTCCAGTGGCCATTTCCCAGCCCATCAGAACAGATCTTCCCCCTCCACCCCCGCCTCCTCCGGTGCATTATGCAGCTGAATTTGATGAACTACAAATGGATTTGCCTCTGCCTCCCCCTCCTCCTCCAAATCAGGTAGGAGCACAAGCATCTTCCCAGGTAGCTGCTGCTGAGCGTAAAAAACGAGAAGAGCATCAGAGGTGGTATGAAAAGGAAAAGGCACGTTTGGAAGAAGAACGAGAAAGGAAACGTCGTGAGCAGGAGAGAAAACTGGGCCAAATGCGTTCTCAGCCGCTAATTCCTGCTCAGCCTGTGGTTCCCCCTGTTTCCCTTCAACAAGTGAAATCAGAAAAACCTTCAACTTTGCAGAGGTCTCAAGAAACAGTCATTCGAGAGTTGCAGCCCCAGCAGCAGCCTCGGACTATTGAGCGGAGAGATCTGCAGTATATTACTATCAGCAAGGAAGAACTGTCCTCTAGTGACAGCCTCTCTCCAGATCCCTGGAAACGGGATGCTAAGGAGAAACTGGAAAAGCAGCAACAGATGCACATTGTGGACATGTTGAGTAAAGAGATTCAGGAACTTCAGAACAAACCGGATCGTACAGCGGAAGAAAATGACCGCCTCCGCAAACTCATGCTTGAGTGGCAGTTCCAAAAGCGACTTCAGGAATCGAAGCAAAAGGATGAAGATGATGATGAAGAGGAGGATGATGATGTGGATACTATGCTCATCATGCAGCGACTGGAGGCAGAAAGAAGAGCAAGGGTAAAAGAGGATAATCCTTTCTAGACAAAAGTATTGTAAATTTATATCTTGGTGGTTTCTCTGACTTTCTCTGAGTATTTTGATGTTCTTTTATAGGGTTAAAGGAGGATGAAGTTTTCTTAAATAGCTTGAATTTTAAATTTGCTATCTTACAGCGGCTTCACCAGTTAAGTGATGTATTATGGAAGTATCATAGCTACCTGTTACAGAATCCAAGCTGGGGGCATAAGGTAGCTGCTGCCTCTGCCTTTCCCACCCCCTCAGCAATGACCCCACCAGTGCTGGGGGGAAGCATTAGGCTGAGCCGTGTGGTTTGGGCTGTTGTACCAACGAATACACCCTGTCTAGGGCTCCAGCTCATAGATACCTGGATTTCGCTTGGTGTCGAGTTTAATCAGAGTCTGGCAAGGTTTGCTTGCCTTTGCTTCAGTACTGCGAAAGCTTGTCATATATAACAGAACTGAATAGTATGGTGAAGTTTTTATCACTCTGCTGGTGGCTGTTGTCTCTCAGAACCTGTTAAATCTGTTGTTACTGGGATACAATTTTGATAGGAAAATTTGGTTTTCTTTTCTGAATAATAGCACAGATAGCAAAGTTTTACATCCCAATAGCTATGCTTTGACAGGCTTAAAAACTAGCTCTGAAATAAGCTGAGTGTCTTCTGTTTGCTTACCTTGAAAAATTGACTTAATTCTGTGATAAGCATTTTTTAATTCTTGAGAAATGTTTGCACGTCCTTATTTTGCCATTCAGAAGTAGCTATCGGCTGGAGTACTGTTTGAGTTGAGGATTGTTTGGCAGCTTGATTTCCTGAGCTTCCTCTTCTCGTATTCACTGCAGTCTTCGTTGCTTTCCTTTTTTTCTTGTGGCTAACTCTGTTACTGTGTAAAACAAGAGATACCTCCAACTTGGAAACTGAAGAAAGGAAAAGCTAAATAGATCTTTGGCAAACAGGTTGCCTTAAAGCCCAGCATGGCTAACATGGCATTTGTAGCACATAGGCAGTTACCTATGGGCATTAAAAAAAAAAAAAAATCCATGTAAACCTGCCATTTTAACAAGCGGTGTCGTTAAAATTTTACTGTAGCGAGGCTAAAAAAGCCATGTGTCATTAATAGAAAGCCAGTTGTATTGCATAATGTTATATCCGTCTCTCTGCACGTGCTGGATTTAAAATACTATTTGTGCATCAAGTTCTTAAAGCATTTTGGAACATTTTGAAACTAAAAAAATAACAGTTGCCTTGAACTGCTGTTTGCATTTCGGTTACATTTCACTGTCTGTACTACTGGAGATGCAGTAAGTAGCATCTCTGGAGAAATACGGGGGGTTTTGAATGAGTCAAACTGATTCTGATAAAAATTTGGGATTATTTGATTGTTTTCATTTCTGTGTTTCAGGATGATGTCAATTCAGTTCCTCATTCTAAAGCAGCTGACTTAAGAAATAAAAGAAAATGCTTTTGAAGTAGCACAAGTCTAACCTACCTTTATTTTCACTGTGCATCTTTCTTTTTTTCCCCCCTTTCTTACTACCTGCAGCAGACTGCTGTGCCAGCAATCTCTGTTCTAGATTTGGTATGTTTGTTTCTTTCTCTTCAATATCTCTATCCCATTTCAATTTCTGATATGATTCATAACCACCCTGTGTGCTTTGGATGATGATTTGGCATCTTTGGGTGTTCAGAAATCATAGTGATGCGGTCAGTTACCTGTAAGCATGCATTTGAATGTTTCCAGATGTGGTGACTCCTTTCCCTGTGTTTCCAGATGTTGTGTTCTGCTTTCAGAACTGTGTAGTTGATGTTTGGTGCAATGGTGTTTATAAAATCTTACTAAGCACTTGGAGTGAACAAGCTGCGAGGTAAGATTTTCTCCCTTCCCTTCCCCACCCTGCAGGTTTTAGAAGAGCCCTAGCAACACCATTCCTTTCCAATTTGAAGGGAAATTGTCCTGAGACCCTAATAATGCAGCAGACTGTTCAGCACGTGCTGAAGTCCTGTTGTTTACAGGTGTTCCGCTTTCCTCATTCAAGTACAAATGGATTGTGAACTCAGAAATTACTTCTGAACTCGTATTTCCAAGTAGGTCACGTAAACATGCAGTTAGTAAGTTAGCATAGAATTTCAGTTTCCGTGAGTTCATACCATTCTCGTGCATCTAAAACACGACAGGCTTTCAAACTGCAGCACTAATTGCTGTGACCCCGACTAATTCTGTGGTTCATTGGAAACGGGTGCATGGAAAAAAAGTTCTGTAGTCTTCCAGAGAAGAAATAAGCATGTTTCTGTATCATTGTATACCACTTTGGAAGAAGAGTGATGCTTGCAAGTTCTCTTAATATAATTAATATAATTTGTATAATTAATTAGTATAATTAATTTGTACTGCTGGAAAAAACTGTAAACGTGACTGTTAAAAATAGAAAATTGGCTATTCAGCACTGCTTTATTTTTTTCAAAAGTCATCTTTTAAAACGCATACTTCAGAGAACGGAGCCTGAGGTGTTTGGGTTTGTATCCGGGTGGTGCATTAGTGTTAAGCAGTGACAGCAGGGAAGGGGGAAGCGTGGCAGCGTTCTGAATTAAGGCACAAGCCAGGAGTCAGACATTTTTCAGACTTGGTATCTATCAATATTTTTTTCTTATTACTACTCCTGTATTTTTTTTGCTTAAGCCTTGGTCCCTGGAGCTGTGACTGGATAGATAAAGTACTTTGCCAAGCAGGTTGTAAACCTGTGGGTCTTTCTGCGACAGGAGGTTGTGAAGGCTAGAAGCAACAGCCAGGCTCCTGTGCAGCTCTTCTTGCCATGGTCAGAGACAGAATTCTGAATCAGTCGAGGATTTATAATGTTCATAAATTTAGCTTGAAAAAAAAGAAAGCAAGCTAGTTCTGAAATAGATGATGTTGAATGCTATACCCATCAAATGCCTCCTTTTCCCTGTTTTCCTCATTTTCATACTGTTGATGTGACGTTCTGGGCATAGTTGCATCTATCCTGTACCCCTTCATGTACCCAAGAAATTCCTTTGTAGTTTCTAAAGGGGAAAAAAAAATACACTTGAGAATGCTCCATGCTTTTTTCTGTATGTCTAATGTGAGCATTGGTGATAGCTGTTCTAATTAAAAGACTGGAGAAAGGTGCTGAATAGTTAATGCATTAATTGCTAACTTGGCTAGTGTTTGTCTTTGGGTTTTTTTTTTTAATTCCCTGAGCCATTAAATTCCCAGATCTGACCCAGCTTTAGTTGTCATAAATAAATAGGTAAAAAAAATTAAAGTTCTTCTGGAACTTCTGTTAAAGCATTCGAAGCAGTGCTTGGAGAAATGAATTTTGTCTGGAATCTGAGACTTCCTGGGTACAGGTACTTCCCTGCAAGTACAGAAAATCCCATGAAAACGTGACTTTTAAACAAGAGGAAAAACGAACTGGGATAGAGAAGTGCTGAATCCAAATATTCAACCTGGGAATCTAATCACTGCCTCTTCCTAGAAATGGGCTGGGAAGCTGACTTTCCTTAGCGTCTTGACAAATCAGGGAGTGGGGTCGGAGCTGGGTGCTGGTGTCCACGCTCCCAAACACAAATGCCTTCAGGCGCTCCCTGCCGCGGGCTGGCAATGCTCCCAAGTCACTCATCATAAAGAAATGTCACTCTGGAGTCGCTGGCTCTGTTCCCGCTTGTGCCTTACAGTTTTTGGCCTTTTTCCTGGGTATTATGTGTAGAACAGCCCCTGACCTGGATACCAATTTAGTTGGAAATATTTCCTTGTTTAAGTGGATTTGAATAGGAGTGTTTGCTACTAAGCAAAAAGGCATCCATGCTGTCACCTGGGATCAGGAACTGCCACCTTCAGTTTCTCTCTAAACGTGGCTGGGACAGACTCACGTTTTCCTGTATTTTTTCACTGTGCAGTGTTGCCTTTTTCTTCTTTTTTTTTTTTAAGAGGAAATTACTTCTCTGCTATAAACTCTTCTGAATTACTATCTGTCTTTCTTTTTGACAGCAATATTATCTCCTTTGCTAAAATAACGGGTTTTTTTTAATAACCAAGACCAAAAAAGGTCTTAATCCAAGCAGGGAGTAGTTTAACGACTTTATTCCCCGCTCTCCTTTATATCCTGAGCTTGATCTCTATCTTTACATAATTTTCAGTTATGAATTATGAAAGTTTTAGTCCTAAATAAGGGGAAATAAATGAAATTAACTAATTAAATGAACTAAATGAAATTAATTTTGGTTTTTAGCTTTCATGCTCAAAAAAATGATGGTTCACTTCAAATGAGATGTGTTTTCACTTCAGTTAGTGTGTATAGCTGCTTGAAGGTGTAAGAGGCAAATGTTTTTGAAATTACCTGTTGTACAAAGTCATAAGATACTCATAACACAAATCTGATATGATTGGGGAGGGGGGGGGAATAATGACCAGAAAATCAGTTAGGAAGAAAAATTCATTTTCAGAATTGATTGGAAAATTGATTAGAAAACCTAATTTGCTTTAAAGTATGTTTCCTGTTAATTGGGGGGGGGGGGGGGGAAGATAGCTACATGAGGATTGTCCTCACAAAGTCTATTAAAACCCAATTTCTGTTACTCTGTATCATATTGCTTTGTGTATGAAGGGACCTTTCTCTCTGTAAATGAAACTGGATTGTAAAAACAAATCCAGGAGTGGAGAAGTATCCATGTTACACGCAGCTTACAGCAAGATATACCAATCGGAACAAAAGATTTGGGGTGGTGGGGGTCACTTTAGAGCATATGCTGCAGTAAGAAATAACCCAGCATGTAGCCCAGGTAGTTTCTCCTTGTGAATATTACTGTGCCAGTGAATATTCCTGTCCATCCTGAGCTGAGATAGCATTAGCTTTAGAGAATCAGGCGCCGTTTGGATTGTTGCTCAGTTTTCTTATCTACGCAGTGTTAATTGTAAGCATATATAAAATAATATTGTCTGTTGTTCATGTGAGCTGTCCTTTGCCTCGCTCTCTGTTTTCCAAAACGCATCCATTGCAGAGACAGCGGGATATTTTATTGATCTCCCGAGACTCTTTGCAGACTTGATGAATGAACCTGACTTTAAATGGATTGACCCTTTGACTAACGAGTCATGATTTTCTGGTGCTTAAATACTAATCCAAAATGAAAAACCAATTGGGTGCTGGAGCTGTGGACTGTTGGTTCCAAGTATTTCATTTCACTTTACCTGTGCCACTGGTTGCTGAAGCTGTCTGGAACATGAGTCACCCCAGTCTTCTGCTAGGGGTTCATACATGACTGCTAAAAACATCTCCCTGTGTGTTTTGTGCTTTTATGTATGTAGTTCTTTGCATCCCTTCTTTTTTTTTCTTTTCTGTTTTTTTTGTTTTGGTTTTTTTGGGGGGGATTTTAGGGAAACCATTGTACCAAAGCATACTCTTAACAGCTGGAAATTATATTGATTTCTCTGTAGTGTAGCATTTTCTACTGAATTAGTTATTTTTAGATGCATATACTTGGGTTACTTTTTTTTGACCCATCTCATCTATGAATGACAAAAAAACTAAAGATGTGTCTCTGTTAGTTACAGGATGAAGAACGCAGACGGCAGCAACAGTTGGAAGAAATGCGCAAACGAGAAGCAGAAGACAGGGCCAGGCAGGAAGAAGAGCGCCGACAGCAAGAGGAGGAGCGGACCAGAAGAGAGGCTGAAGAAAAGGTTATGGTCTTCCGAGTGCTGCGGGGTTTCCTACAGGGCTCCTCTCCTCTTTAGCCTGGCCAGTAACAGCTCGGTGTTGGGTCAGCAGGGGTTAAACACACTCGCCCTAGTGATAGAGGTCATGGCCCAAGGCTTCAAGGGTTGGAAGGGACTTGAGAGATCATCCAGTGCCACCCCCTGCCATGGGCAGGGACACCTCCCACTAGCCCAGGTTGCCCAAAGCCTCATCCAGCCTGGCCTTGAACCCCTCCAGGGATGGGGCACCCACAGCTCCTCTGGGCACCCTGGGCCACTGCCTCACCATCATTTCAGCAAATAAGTCCCTGTGCAATCAAACAGCTGCTAAAAATTGAGGCTTCTAGGTTCCTTCAGAACTTTATACATGAATTTGAGAAGCTTTATTGTTCAAAACTGGAAGACAGAGCACCTCATCTGATTCTTAGCATGTTTGTTGAGACCCTCTTCTTCCTAGAGAAAGAACAGTTACTTTTGTTCAGATTGAAGACTTGCCTCTTAGTAACACTGACTTCAGAATGAAGAAAGAGGGCTAGCTTTTGATGTTGAGAGAAATTCCGTCTTGGAAGATCGAGCGAATTAAAAAAAAAAAAAAAAGGCCTTAGATATATGCACTTTGTTAATGAGTTTTGTTAGATTGTTTTCCATCTTTGTTAGACTGTTGTCCGTAAGCATTATGGGTTGGTGAGTAGAAGAAAGCTAAGCTGGGGGTGGTGATAGGTGAGAAGCGATGAAGGTGTACCTGGACACGTGGATTAAAAATAGAAAGGCTGGTTATTCAAAATGTATTCCCAGCAGAAGTTATACTATGCTTAGACCAAAGGGTTTTGTAACATACAGTTTCCATTTGTTATCAAACAAACTACTGAATAGACCCTTGTATTAATTTACAATGTGGCTTAGACAAGAGCTGAAGAGAATTCAATGCTGTTTAGTTTAAAAACAGTCAAAATCTTTTAAACTGGAAAAATACATAGCTGATATTTCATGGCCTTTTAAATGGTCAGTAGCCTCCTATGAATTCCATTAGCATGGGGGTTTTTCACTTTGTTTTTTTATCTTTATTTTTAAAAACAATTATTTGTCTGTTTTAGAAAAAGTTCTTTGTAATTTGATTTCTATATGAAAGTAGTTTTCCTGGTATTTATACAAGAAGCTTTGTTAGGTGTTATCTGTTCCAAGGCTCTGTTGATTAATTCACGTTGTATAAGCGTGCAGCAAAATTGCAAAGTTCCTTTTTGAAGGTGGTAGTTAACTTTGGTTATTTTCCTCTCCCACAGATTCTTTACAGCTTTAAAGCTGTAAATCTCCCCCAGATTCTTTACCCCTTATTAACTGTAGTTACATTTGGAGTAATAAACGCTGGAATTAGTTCACAGAGGCAGTGGTAAATCTGGAAATAACAGCAATGCTCTGTTACAGGACAACTGGTGTTTTTTTCATAGTGGTAAATATTCTTTGTATATTGAATTCTTATTGAATGGAATATTCTTATTGAATCCGTATAGACGCCCTGCTCATTGCCAGAAAGGGAGACAAAAAAAGATGTTTGTAGCTCAGTGATGGAAAACTTAAATCTCTCTGTCTTTCTGACCACTGTGTTTGTTTCCTCTGGACTTACAGAGGCGACAGGAAGAGGAATATTACAGTCGCTTAGAGGCTGAAAGGCGCAGGCAGCACGATGAAGCAGAACGGAGATTACTGGAACCTGACGAGCCTGGTCTGTACAGACCTCCGCTTCCACGGGAATATGAACTCCCATCCCCAACCCCTTCATCTAACGCTCCTCCTCCCCCACCTCAGCGAAACACCTCTTACCTCAAAACACAGGTCCTCTCCCCTGACACGATTTATACTGCCAAGTTTGTTGCATACAATGATGATGATGATGATGAGGAGGAGGATTCCAATCTAGCAGGTCAGGATAAGTACTCCAGCACAAGAAAATCTTATGGTGACTTTCCTCCTGCCACCCTTAAGCCACAGCAGCCCTCCCGCCAGCCTCGCCCAGTTTCAGATGGCCTCTTTCTTTCCAAGTCATTCCAGTCATCTCCAGTCAATGCCAACAGTACTACTGCCAAAAAAAGCCAGCCCCCGCCCCCACCAAACCAACCGAGTTTCAGCCATGCCAGCAGCTCTAAAGGTAGACACCATGAAATCAGTCGTCTCTACAGAACTATCCTCATGTTTTCAACTCTGGTGCTGTAAATTGAATCCCTTACTTTGTGATTTATTGCCCCCCCCCCCCCTTAATCAATCACTATTTTCACTGTGGTGATCTAACTTAAATCCTGATATTAATATGAATCCTCCAATTTTTAATCGCTTTGATTTCTCAAATTTCCTTGTAACTTACCCAGACTCTTCAAAAGCAAAAATTCCATCTTTCACACAACAAATCAGAAATTATATTAACTATTACTCAACCAATTCAAAGTACTGTTGGTTTTGGCTTTCACTCTGTATCTTTCAGTGATTTGTTTTGTATGACTGACCACTGGTTACTCAGGGCATCTGGAAGTGCACCTTTCTTGAACACAGGAAACCTTTTCTTACGGGCTTACGGACAGAGCTTATCTTCTGCTTTCGTTATTGGTACCAGGGTTCTCTCTTTTAATAGCGTGTGCAAATGGCTTTAAAAATGACCTTTGTAGACATAGTTCTTAAATGTACAAGCACCAAGAGACTAGTTAGTTTCATGGATTAGGCACCATTCCTGTACTTCTGATTTGTACTGTGCCGTTTTCTTGCATAAAGAGACAAAAATCGAAATTTCATCTTAGTGCTTTTTGACTTAATCCTCCCTTCCCCCTTCTGTATCTTTTTGTCTCCTCATCTTGTTTATTTTATAACTCCCAAGTGGGAAACCATAATGGAGTTTCATTTCAAGTAGAGCTCTAGGTGCCATAACCTCAGCACCGTATTTTATCTGCAGAACACTAGTTTAGCAATATTAATGAATTCAAAGCTACTTCAGAACAAAGTTCCATGCTGAATTTTTTTTACACCACTGCCCATGTAGATATCACTCTAATAAATTTGTAGTTTATTAATAAAAGATTCTGTCTTTAAATAGCAGCATCTACCAGCGCTTCCCCTACATTTGTTTTCTTCTGTATTCTTCTGAAGGGAATTCTTCCCTGGTGAGACCGCATCTGGAATATTGTGTCCAGTTCTGGGCCCCTCAGTTCCAGAGGGACAGAGAACTGCTGGAGAGAGTCCAGCGCAGAGCCACAAAGATGATTAAGGGAATGGAGCATCTCCCTGCTGAGGAAAGGCTGAGGGAGCTGGGTCTCTTTAGCCTGGAAAAGAGGAGACTGAGGGGTGACCTAATCAATGTTTATAAATATGTAAAGGGTGAGTGTCAGGAGGATGGAGCCAGGCTCTTCTCTGTGACATCTAGTGACAGGACAAGGGGCAATGGGTTCAAGCTGGAACATAGGAGGTTCCACTGGAATATAAGAAAAAACTTCTTCCCGGTGAGGGTGACAGAGCACTGGAACAGGCTGCCCAGAGAGGGTGTGGAGTCTCCTTCTCTGGAGACATTCAAAGCCCGCCCGGATGCGTTCCTGTGTGATCTGATCTGGGTGTTCCTGCTCCGGCAGGGGGATTGGACTAGATGATCTTTTGAGGTCCCTTCCAATCTCTAACATTCTGTGATTCTGTGACTGGTGGCCATGAAATTCCCTTAGTTCATTCTTTACTTGTGATGGAAGTCAACAAATGCTTGACAACCAACTCCAGCCCATCAAATCATCCTTCTAGAATGCAAAACGTAGCAACTCACCTGAGATGGCAAGGGAAAGTGTTTCTGCTGGAACTTGTTTACTGGATCCAAGTCTCATGACAAATGTGGAAGCGTACAATATGGTATACCCCTGATCACCTTTTTGGCCACCTAACAAATGACAAAAATCACTTAATTTCTTTAATCAGAGGTGTGCTGTGCCCTGGTCATATGGAGAATGCAAGACTCAGAATAGGTTCCATCTGTCAGAAACACTTCTAATCCAGCTCCAGGAGTGTATGAATCTGATTTGGGATACGAGTGAGGCCATGCAGGTACATGATACTCCGAGCTTCGTGCCTTCATCTTTCTCAGTTAAGGCTCAAGTCGTCATTTTCCAGCAAGGCATCCTTTCCTTTGCAGGTTAAATTAGCTTCTGCTGCAGCTGGACTGCTTCCGGTGCCAAAGAGAAGCTCTGCACAGCGTTGTGTAGTTTCAGTATTGCTGAAGGGGCAGTAGTTCAGCTCAGTTAGAATTACTGTCCATTCAGTTGATGCTTAGGAGTTTCAGTGGCTGGGGTCAGTACAGCACCCAAGTCGCATAAAAAGTATCCGCACTGATACTCAATTAAAGAAAAAAAAAAAAAAAAGCCGTTTATTTACCCTGGTGTCGCCTGTGAGATCTTGTGATGTAGTAGTCCCTATGGATCTTGCAGCCTGGTCTGTCACTCCTGTCTGGCTCTGTCATAGGTTCCAAATCTTGAAGGTGAGGGAAGGTTTTAGCTTTTCTGTGTGTTTTCATTAGCCTGGAGTACAAGCAGACGCACTGCTGCGTGCTACCATTACAGAGCACGGAATTCCGTCGTGCCTGCCTCCCGTGCACGTGAGCCCGCTGAGAGACCCACAGCCAGTGATCCTAAATCACAGGGTTGTACCAGAAGGACTCTAGCTTTTGAGCACCTTGTACACAAAGAATTAATGAGTTAAAATAAGATTAAAGACAGGAAATATGCAGAAAAGATTCTTTTTAAACACTATGACTGTGTGGTCAGGTTGCTCTTAGGAATATTATTAAAGAGGAGGCTTCTGACAATAAACTCTTGTACTGTATGTCTGTACTGAATTCTTGATGTTTCAAAGGACTTTGAAACTGACTATAATAGAGCATAAAATGTGCCTTCCATGACAACGTGTAGGCTTCCAAAGGCTTATGGGGCACTCTGAAGGTTGTACATGTAACGAATCAAGTAATTCTGGAACCATTGGTCACTAGTTGTCACCACCACTCTTCCTGCCTCCCATCATCCACAACCCAGAATGCCATTTCACATGTCATTGCATATCCCAATCCTGCTTTCTTTTCATTTTAATGGAAAAAAAATGAGTCTCTGGAAAGTGGAACGTTCAGTGATATTTTTGTGTGTGCGCACGTTTGTTTTTCCTGGAAAACAATCAGGACAATCTACAAAGAATTGGTTAGGGTTTTGATAACAATGAAGGAATATTGTAGAATGATGCTTCGCCTTTAATAACCTAATTCATAAAACCATACGACTAATTCTGAATACTCTTATTTCATAATTTTTAAAATAGCCATGAGAACAGGTTAACTTCACCTGATTGCTCAAGCTTCTATGAAGACTGCCTGCGTAACGTACAAAGCCGTTTGCACAAAATGCAGAATTCACTGTGCAGTTGACCATCTCCCATCTCGCTGACTCTGTGACATTCCTGTCCTTTACAGCTCTTCTCTGTTCTGAACGTTAACTCTAGTAAACCACGCTTCTGCCAATTTTGCTCTCGAACCTTCTTCCACTGGGTCTGCCAGCTAACCGAGAAAAAAGCCAACACCCAAATCAAAGCTAAAGCAGGTTGAAGGGGGGAGGATTGAGACTTCCAGACTTTTCCAAGTAGGGAAGGAAATACTTGTATGCTTTGAAAGGAAAAAAAAATCTTTATATGCCTGGCATACCTAGTATGATTTGGTCTGCTACAAATTTTTGGTGGAAAAAGTTTAGCTTCCAACACACTTGCTAAATTGTCTTGTGTGTTCCAGCCTCATATTGAATATTTATGAGAAGTTACATACGCCAGTGGAAGAAGCAAACATTTCCTTCTGTACCAAAGAAGGTTCACAAGACATAACACGTACAATATTGAGACCAGAACTGTCTGAAGACAAATCTTGAGTATTGTGCTAACACTTATTTTTACTCTTTTCCTGACAGTTATTAAGCGAATATGGATTAAATTATTGAATTTTTTGATTGGAAAAAAAAAAGGTTTTGTCTTGTGGCCTTTAGAAAGAATGAATATAATGTGTAAAACCTGTGTGTTGTATCAACTTAAACTAAAGGTGCAGTGCTGCAAGATAACTTGCTTGAAATTTAAAGGGGGGGGGGGGGGGGGGATGTGCTTAATA